CCACATATGCCAGCCCCATAACAGACGGCTCTAAATAGAAAAAAACAATATGTCTTCCCTCGCTCTGTGCTTAAGATTTAGGCAGGCACTCGGGATGTACGTTAAGAGACTTGCCAGGTTGTGTACCACTGTGGAATGTTCAATAATCTATGGAATAATACTTGGGGTTCTAAAATACGGAAGGGAAAAAATAACTTTTGTCAGATGCCTACTTTGCTATCATTTCATGTCATTTCTTATATTTTCAGCTGTACTTGGGGAACCATCCCAAGATTCTGACTGTGTGAAGGTCAAGTGTGCCATTGTGCAGCTGGTACACAAGGATTTTCAGAAGAATTAAAAGTATTGCTGGTGGTGATAAGGGTGAGAGAAGGAGGTAACGTCCTGGAAAAGAGCATGGGCTTGCGGAGAGCCCACAACTGGGAGCTGGAGACCTGGGCACGCGGTGACAGCTCTTAGCCCTTTCTGATCTTGTTTTTACTCCCCTTTAAAGGAGATTAAAATGCCTAATCTGCCCACTGTTGGGGCAGAAGAGAATAATATTATTGGTCAAAACATTGTTTTGAAAAATAAGCAACACTGACTTCATATAAGTAGCATAGATCACTGATGGAAACTTGTATTTAAGCTCTCTGGGCGTAAAAGCACATTTTGGAAGTTACCAAGTAGCTGCCAATAAACCTAATGTGGAGAAAAATACTTAAAAGCACACGACTGTTTGGTGGATAGAAAACCTTTTGCTTCAGCACAAGTTCAGAGTTGGACAGTCTAAGAATGAGCCCTCCCATGCCTTAGAAGGGCTGAGTAGCAGCTTCTGGTGATGGATCCAAAAACTCTCAGGTTCCAAATAAAACAGCATCATTTGTACTCTTTTCATAAACTTGCAAAAACAAACAAAATAAAAATGTCTACACTGCAAAGGGTAATTGAAACCTGATGCATACAAAAGAGTTTACAAACTGTGACACACTAATGAACAAGTTCTCATTTGGAAGTAAAGCACCCAGCAGAGAGCACCACACACACGATGTGGCCAATAATGGTAAGACCCTTCCCTTCATCTGACTTTCAGGAAGGAGTAGTTCTTAAAATTTTAGAGTTGAACTCTGATTAAATGAATAAAAATAATACAGTTACTTTATTTGCCTAAAAATGTATCGTCATTGATTACAAATAAAAAGTGAAAACAAAATAAAAATTAAAAAGTTTATCATCAGGCAATTGAGACTCACCACAAGGTGTGTTGGTCACACATTCGGTCTCACAAAGCAGTTTGACCGTCTTGGCAACAGCCTCAATATTATTTTTAAATTGGCAGAGGCAGCAGGCCAAATGGTTAGGTAAGATACTATAAATGGAAACATACAGAATTATATTAGTGACAAAGGAGTTACTTGGAAAATAGTTTTTTTAAAAAACTTAAACATGCACCTACTATATGACATAGCCATTCCACTTTCAGGCACTTATCAAGAGAAACAGAAGTATATTTCCATAAACAGACTTGTATATAAATATTCACAATAGCTTTATTTATAATAGTCAAAAATTGGAACAACTCAAATAGTCATCAATGTTGAAAAATACTGATATATCCATTCTTAATGAAATACTATTCAGAAATAAAAAGAAATGAATTATTGATAGGCAAAACAACATTAGGCAAAATATGGACTAATCCTATATAATAAAAGGCTAATAAGCTAATCGACCAAAGGGCAGAACGACCAGTTGCTATGATGTGCACTGACCACCAGGGAGTAGACGCTCAACACAGGAGCTTCCCCCTGATGATCAGCGCTCCCACAGAGAGAATGCCTCTCAGGCAGAATCTGGGCTTATGGCTGGCGAGCACAGAGGTGGTGGTGGGAACTACTCCTGCCTCCACAGCAATGCTATGGATGTCCAAGTGCTAGCCTAGGCCCACTACCTATTGGGAGCCGTCATTTGGGCATCCACCAGGATCTGGGCTGAGAGACACTCCCCTGCCCCCCCACCCCCTTCACTATTTTCGGGAACTGGGCCTCTAGTCTTGAAATAATCATCTGAATAAAGGAGGCCAATTAGAAAAGAGTAGGTACTATACAATTCATTTATATAAAATTGTAGAAAATGCAAACTAACCTATAGTAATACGAAGGAGATCAGTGTTTGCACAGGAATTGGGTGGGCAAGGAGGAATGGGAAGGAAGAATTATAAAAGGGACATGATGCAGATTTTTGAGGTTATAGACAGTTTTTTTTAAAGATATTTTATTGATTTTTTACAAGAGGAAGGGAGAGGGATAGAGAGTTGGAAACATCGATGAGAGAGAAACACCGATCGGCTGCCTCCTGCACACTCCCTATTGGGTATGTGCCCATAACCAAGGTACATGCCCTTGACCAGAATCAAACCTGGGACCCTTGAGTCCGCAGGCCAATGCTCTATCCACTGAGCCAAACAGGTTAGGGCAGACAGTTTGTTTTTGATGATGGCTTTGTGGCGTGCAGGAGGCAACCAATCAACCAATTGAAATGTTTCTCTCACATTGATATTTCTCTCTCTCTCTCTCTCTCTCTCTCTCTCTCTCTCTCTCTCTCTTCCTTTTATCCCACTCTTTTCCTCCCTTCCACCCTCACTAAAATTCAATAGGAGAAATATCTCCTCGTGAATATTAAAAAAAGACAATCAAAAATATACAAACAAAAAAAGAGACCAGCCTGCCGGTGTAGTTTAGAGACTGAGAATTGACGTATGAACCAAGAGGTCACAGTTGGGTTCAAGGTCAGGGCACAGGCCCGGATGCAGGCTCAATCCCCAGTAGGTTTCATGCAGGAAGCAGCTGATCAATGATTCTCTCATCATTGAGGTTTCTATCTCTCTCTCTCTCTCTCTCCCTCTCCCTCTCCCTCTCTAAAATAAATAAAAATATATATTTTTAAAAACTTATGGTCTTCAGTGATACATTTAATAGAAGGCACAACCTTGGAAAATATATTTAGTAAACACATATCTTACAGAAAGGACTTTATATAAAACACTCTTAAAACTCAATAATAAGATAAATGTCAAAAGGATTTGAACAGACACTCCATTGAAAAAATATATTTTCACATTGACATTCCACACCCTCAGCTACTAGAGAAATGCAAGTTAAAATCACACTGCAATACAAATGCATTCCTACTAGAAAGGCTAGTTAATAAAAAACACAGAAATATAAAGATCAGGTGAAAATGTGGAGCAATTGCAACTCTCATCTACCACTGGTGGGAAGGCAAGATGGTACAACCACTTTAGAACACAGTTTAGCAGTTTTTTTTACTAGTTAGGTATACACTCAGCATATAATGCAGCAACCCCACCCTTAGGTATCTTACTCCAAAGCAATGAAAACGTATGTTCACACAAAGACCTGCATATGAGTATTTTTAGCAACTTAATTCATAATAGCCAAAAAACTAGAAACAGCTCAAATATCCATTACCTGATTACTACAGAAACTAATATATACACACAATTGGAATACTACGCAGGGATAAAAAAGGAAATGTACTACTGGTAGATGCAACAACTAAGATGGATCTCAAAAGGATCATGTTACATGAAAGAAGCCAAACACAAAAAGCTACATTCTACATCCAGCCCATGGCCACATGCCTCATTTATTTGGACTGTGTTAGCCTTTGAATTTGACACACTTGCTCTACATGATTTCATTTATAAGACACTCTATAAAAGGCAGGACTATAACAATAAAAAATCAGACCGGTGCTTGACAGGGGCTGGTGGTGGGAGGAGGAACTGACTGCAAAGAAATATGAGAGGACCCTAGCCGGCTTGGCTCAGTGGGTAGAGCATCAGCCTGTGGACTGAAGGGTCCCAGGTTTGATTTCGGCCAAGGGCACATGTCAGAGTTGCGAGCTCATTCCCCTGTAAGGGGTGTGCAGGAGGCAGCCAATCAATGATTCTCTCTCATCATTGATGTTTCTATCTCTCTCTCCTTCTCCTTTCCTCTCTGAAATCAACAAAGAAATATATTTTAAAAAAAAGAAATATGAGGGGCCCTGTGGGGATGATAAAAGTGTTCTGGATCTCTAATGTGATGGTGGTACATTTATCAAGACTACACATTTATCAAAACTCACTAAAATGTACGCTTTAAAAGAGACAATTATTTTAGATACAAATTATACCTCAATAAACCTGACTTAAGAAAATAAAAAAGCAAACCCAAAAGAACTAAATGAAAATAAATATAAGAAAAATCAACTTACAGTTTCTCTAACTCAGGAGCTGTCATGAGAATGTTATCAAGTGTTGTAAATGTCACTTGTGTTGTTCCCATGTCTCTGAAGGAGAAAGACCAAACATGCATGATATGAACCCAAAGACAAAAATTCTATTCTTGAAAAGACATTTAACAACATCCGTTTACTTAAATTCGGGCTTCTCTGTCAAGCCAGCTCCATAATTCAAGGTGCTTTAGTTTACTTTCCATACATAATCATTTTAGAGAGCTCTTCTTGAAGAAATTTAAATGTATTGCATCATCAAATTAATGTATTTTCATCATCAAATTAATGACTTTGGTGAACAGTACAATGTGATATTTTGTTACCATCATCCTACTTCCCCTTCTCTGTTCCAACCACTATTTGATCACTCTTTTTGAAAAACACAGAATGTACAACTTATTCCTTTTTTCTTTCTGAGATCCATGGTATTTCTACATGCATCTACATGTTTCATGTCAGAATGTGTTTTTCAACACTGCTCCCTTCCTCTGCTGGCTGTCTTGCCCTTGTACAGTCTTTATCACTTTCATGTGCCAATAAATCATTTTTGAGAATAACCAAGTTAAAATTTAAATTATGAGTTTTTTGTCAAAATGCAAAATAGTTCATCTTTGACAAAAGTAAGAATAGAAATCATCTCATGAGCCATGACATTGTTGCAATACTTACAAATATTTCAACGCTGGCAAATTAAAGAGATAAGGATCTTGAATCGTCATCAGAGGATTTTCATGTAGAATTCTGAAAAATGCAATAGAATTAAAATTGTCTGCATTTTTAATAACTGCCATGAAAGTTTATATTCATTTTGTTGGTTCAAAATGTGAACGTTGAAAAGAATCATTTTCTGTCTATTCCCAGAGATCACCCTTAGAATCTGTAAAGCATTCTCTTTTGTTGTTAATCTCACCTGAAGATATTTTTTCCACTTCTCTTTTTAGAGAGAGTGAGAGAGAAAAAAAACACATCAATGTAAGAGAGACACATCGGTTGGTTGCCTCTACCACATGACCCAATGAGGGCCAGGAATAGAACCTACAACTCAGCTATGTGCCCTTGACCAGGTATCGAACCCGCAAACCCTACTTGTATGTGCCAATGCTCCAACCACTGTATAACACAGGCCAGGGCTATAAAGGATTCTTTATTGGGGAACTACCCAAGTCTCTGAATGATAAAGTGGAGAAGAGAAAGTAAAAAAAAAAAGGAAAGAAGTAGATAGCAAAGAAAACTATACTGAAGAACCTTTCAGATTGAAAACCCCATTAGTGACTATGCTGATAGGAAGCTCCTGCTCTACAGGAAATACCATTTCTTTTTTCTTTTTTATATCTCTTTATTCATATCAGACACAAGCAAAAGAGGGGAGAGAGAGAGATAGAAACATCAATGATGAGAGAATCATTGATCAGCTGCCTCCTGCACAACCCCTACTGGGTATCAAGCCTGCAACCCAGGCATGTGCCCTTGGCCAGTATCGAACCTGGGACCCTTCAGTCCAAAGGCCGACACTCTATCCACTGAGGCAAGCCAGGTAGGGCAAGGAAATACCATTTCTAATGTCCTCATAATTCAAGGTGCTTTCTTTCATCTCCAGAAATTTTTAAAAATCCAGTGTAAACCATCCAGTTAAAGAGAAAAATAGACCTAATTCTTTGGTGAAAGCCATGCTCCTATCACATACTCCTATGTGTATTCTTGCATTACAGGCTTTCTTACAATGTATGTAATCACCTATTTACTTGTCAATTACAATGTATGTAATCACCTATTTACTTGTCAATTTCTTAACTATTAGTGCCTGACATTTACTAGGAATTTAATGGATGTTTGTTTAAAAAATAAATAATATTTTGATTACATATCAATCAAATAAATTTCTTAATTGACCCAAACTTTTATTCCCAGTGCTGAAATAAATTTTCCTCTCAAGTCAGTATTACCGCGCCGGTCCCCCTCACTTCTTGAAAACAAGCCCATGCCAAAGGTCAGGTCTGGGGAAGCAGAGCATGGCATATATCAGTTAGACAAGGCTCTTGGACTCTTCGTACCTTAGTTTCCTCATTTAAAAAAGAAAAAAAAAAGAATGGCTCTTAAGCCATTCTTCTCTAGTTCAAACTGAGCTTATACCCAGCCAACCAATCACTGTATGAAGTTTTTACACATAGCTTTTACATGTGTTCATCTTCTATTTCACTTACAACTTGTGTAACAGCTGCATTCCATGCCAGGTCTGAAATGTTCCAAAGTTCACTTTTGTGATTAAATTGCAACCAAGATTTCTATTAAAAAAGACACAAGCAAAAGAAGAGAAAAAATACTTTCAGATCACTTATCCTTTAGCAGAGATTCTAATTTATATATAATAAAACAAACTCAATACTCCCTCTATACACTAAAATTCTTACTATGGGAGATATTTGCTTATGGTTTATGCTTTCATGTTTATACATGTGGTGCATTAGATACAAAAAAGGCTTGTATTAAACTGATCTATATTTCTCTGAAAAAAGGTTACACAACCTCAACACTATTGACATTTTGGGCTAGATAATTCTTTATTATGGGGAACTGTCCTTTGCCTTGAACAATAATTCTGGCCTCTGCCACTAGATGGCAGTAGGAAATCTACAGTTCTGACAACTAAAACACTCTGGCTATTGCCAAGTGTCACCTGGTGCCAAATCACCCTGGTTGAGAACCACTGCTATAGAATGGTTCGTTCTGTTTTTAACTTTTTGGGGAAACTCCATACTGTCTTCCACAGTATCTATACCAGTCTGCATTCCCAGCAGCAGTGCAGGAGGGTTCCTTTTTCTCCACATTCTCACCAGCACTTGTCATTTGTTGATTTGTTGATGATAGCCATTCTGATAGGTGTGAAATGTTATCTCCTTATTGTTTTGATTTGCATCTCTCGGATGATTAGTGACTTTGAACATGTTTTCATATGTCTCTGGGCCATCTGTATGTCCTCTTCTGAAAAGTGTCTATTTAGACCCGTTGCCCATTTTTGTTGAGCAAAATTATTTATCTTCCTTTTGTTAAGGTGTATGAGTTCTCTGTAAATTTTGGAGATTATACCCTTATTGGAAAAATCATTGGCAAATATATTCTCCCATAGACTGGGCTTTCTTGTTGTTTTGTTGATGGTTTCTTTTGCTGTGCAGATAGAGTGGTTCATTCTGAATGTGACAGAATTCTCACACTAATCTATGCTAGTGACAAATAGGATTTGCTACATAACTTTAGTAGTTTTCTAGTAAAGTTGATTATCCCTTAAAATAAAATTTTAATCTTACTTCAGAATAAATAACAAAGAGGTTTACAATGATGTTTTATGAGATCCCTAAACACAATGAGGTTATATTTATAACTTACATATATTGTAAAAGAGGTAATGAATCAAATGCATTCTTTTCAATAAATTCTATCTTATTGCAGGACAAGTCCCTAGAAAAAGTGAAAGAAGAATAGTGTTTAATTACTTATTAGTATCTAATTAGTAGGAATAACTGGTAGAGGTTAGAATAATATTGAATACACAGGTTAAGTCTAAACTGAAAACCTTAAGAATTGTGATTTGAACCCTCCAGAACCCATTATGCTGCTCTCATTCAAAAGTCTCACCATCAGGATCTTCATAAATACAACATACAACTATAGACCTTGATACATTTTGAAGGTATTTATCCCTGAGAGCAGAAGAATTGATTAGAAGACCCTTTGTGGTCTCATCAAATTTAGATTATGAGCTCAAAGTTTATATCTTCATGTACATTTATAAATTTCTTACATTAAAAAAAATAGTCTCACATCTACACACCTTCCTGGTTTACTTCTGTGTTTTAGGCAAATTCAATACCAGAAGAAATAAAAGGTGCCTTTTCACATAACTTCAAAGGAAATGAATGCTCTAAATAATACAGGACTTTGAACTAATACAGAACGTTGAATTAATGATACTATTATACTGATAGAAATTCATTTCTTATTTTACATTGTTTTAATACCCATGAATTTACTGGCTTCAGTTGTACAGTGGTCGGACAAAAGACCACAACATAGTGCTGGGTTTTTATTTGAAAACACCATCCCTTGTCTATAATTGACTGTCTTATTTCCATTGATTCCACTTTAGTCCCTCACTTTTCTCCTGGAAGGGTATAACTGTCTTCTGACTGGTATTTCCACCTATAATCTCCCCCTTGCTAAACCATCCTGCACACATTCACCAGATTAACACTCCAGAAGCGGTTCTCAAATACTAGCCAGCAACACTTGGGAACTTATTGGAAGATGGAAATTCTCCGCCTGACCCTGGATCAACTGAATTAGTAACTGGGGGTACAGCTTGAGTTTTAAGAAGCCCTCCAAGTGACTCTGTTTTAGGCTAAAGTTTCTCCTCAAGCAATGGTGTGATAACATGGTACTTGGCATTCCAAAGTCCAGAAGATCTGGCTCTAATCTCCTCCTCCCCCTACGTGTACTCTACAGCTACTCAAGGTACATTTTCCCAGGCTCCTTTTGCAAGCTTATTCTACTCAAGATGTCTGTCCATTGACCCCCCCAAAGCCCTTCAAGGTCCTGTTCAAACAGCATTGCTCTACTGACATCTTTGCTGATCCAACGTAAAGTCTTTTTTCCCTCTGCTGTGACCAAAACCAATTTATATATCCATTTCTTACAACATTTTAATAGAGTTACTTTTGCATCCTATTTCCTCTGAGCATAAATTCCTTAAAGTATCGACTCTGTCTTGTTCATCATCATTGTCTACTGCCATGCGAACAGGTGCAAACTGAAATATTTATCAAATAAACAAATAGCTGGGAAGTAGAGAGAAAAATGACTTTTAAAAGAAATGTAGTTTTATTATTTCGTGGCTCCCTCTTGTGTGCCACTGCAGCACGGAGTCTTACATTTAGTACTTGTGCTCTATGGTTTGAGTTGACATGTTTATTTTCCCTATGAGAGCATGAATTATCAGAAGGGTAGGAACCCTGACGTACCTATCTTGTGCCTATAGTTCTAGGTACAGTGCTTGGCATGTTCTGTTTTAGCTTGCTTATTGATTGGCATTTTTTTAATGGATGGGAATACTTTATGCTAGCATGAAATAGTTAGCTTACAAAGCATTTCACAGTAGAAGTAATGAATGACCTAACCGATTGAGCAGTTATTTTCTTCATTTTATTTCCTGCAAACTGTATGGAAGGTTTGGAAGCAAGATAGCAAGAAGACCAATATAAAAGTGGATGTCCCTCTGAAGTTTGAAAGGTTTGATAATACAAATGACTATTTTTAGTGTCATGTGAGGCTCTTTATACCTACTTGCCTGAAGCCTTCCATATTTGCAGAAAGAATCCAGTTGCTAAAAAGCATCATTAATTAGCCTAATAAGGATTAATGACAGGTACGAGAACCAAGATGGCGGCATAGGTAAACACCGGAGACTGCTGCCACAAACAACCACTTCAAAAATACAACTAAAAGACGGAACAGACATCACCCAGAACCACAGGAATACTGGCTGAGGAGAGACTCTTCAACTAGAAGGAAAGAGAACAGCAAACCGAGGCTCAGAGGAGGCGCAGTGTGGAAAATACAAAGGTACCGAGGTGCGCGCGCAAAGCGGGCTGGTGGCTGAGGGCGCGGTTGTCGTTTTTAGTCGGGAGGAAGTCTCAGACTCTGGGCTCCAGATCCGGGCGAGTCTCTAGGGCAGCTTTCTCTCCGAGGTTTGCAGCGGCTGCCAGGGTTCTGAGAAGCGGAGACTCTAGGAACGGGACTGAGAGCAGCCATAACTGCTCCCTCCGCCTGCCCTGTTGATCCCGCCCTGCCCAAGCCCTGCGCAGAACCATTTGCTGGATCGCCTCAGGCAAAGGCTAGATTAGCACCTCCCCAGAGGACAGAATTTTTCCACACAGCTGATTCTCACAGCCAGTCAGCCTGGTGGTCAAATCCCTCAGTATTATCTACAACAATCAAGACTTAACTACAACAAGACTGCGCACAAAGACCACAAGGGGGTGCACCAAGAAAGCATAAAAAATGCGGAGACAAAAAAAACATGACAGAAATGGAGGATATGGAGCTAAAAAACGCAATTTTGAGGGCTTGCAATAAACTTGATGAGAGACTCACGAAAACCAATGAGACCCTCGATGCTATGATAAAGAAACTAGAAATTAAGCATTCACGGACTGAAATGAAGAATATTATACCCAATAGCAGACCAGAGGAGCGCAAGAATCAAGCCAAAGATTTGAAATGCGAAGAAGCAAAAAACACCCAACCGGAAAAGCAAAATGAAAAAAGAATCCGAAAATATGAAGATGGTGTAAGGAGCCTCTGGGACAGCTTCAAGCGCACTAATATCAGAATTATTGGGGTGCCAGAAGATGAGAGACAGCAAGATATTGAAAACCTATTTGAAGAAATAATGGCAGAAAACTTCCCCCACCTGGTGAAAGAAATGGACTTACAGGTCCAAGAAGCGCAGAGAACCCCAAACAAAAGGAATCCAAAGAGGACCACACCAAGACACATCATAATTAAAATGCCAAGAGCGAAAGACAAAGAGACAATCTTAAAAGCAGCAAGAGAAAGAGACTCAATTACCTACAAGGGAATACCCATACGACTGTCAGCTGATTTCTCAACAGAAACTTTGCAGGCCAGAAGGGAATGGCAAGAAATATTCAAAGTGCTGAATACCAAGAACCTACAACCAAGATTACTTTACCCAGCAAAGCTATCATTCAGAATTGAAGGTCAGATAAAGAGCTTCACAGATAAGGAAAAGCTAAAGGAGTTCATCACCACTAAACCAGTATTATTCGAAATGCTGAAAGGTATCCTTTAAGAAGAGGAAGAAGAAAAAGGTAAAGATACAAATTGTGAACAACAAACATGCATCTATCAATAAGTGAATCTAAGAATCAAGTGAATAAATAATCTGATGTACAGAATGAACTGGTGATTATAATGAATCAGAGACATAGAAAGGGAATGGACAGACTATTCTTGGGGGGGAAAGGGGAATGGGAGATGCGGGAAGAGACTGGACAAAAATCGTGCACCTATGGATGAGGACAGTGGGTGGGGAATGAGGGCGGAGGGTGGGGCGGGAACTGGGAGGAGGGGAGTTATGGGGGGGGAATAAAAGAGGAACAAATGTAATCTGAACAATAAAGATTTAATTAAAAAAAAGGAAAAAAAAATTTCTGGGTACTTTCTCAAAAAAAAAAAAAGGATTAATGACAGACACAGCTCTGGGTGCCATGGACAAAGAATCATAGTTGAGTTTTTATAGTAAAGAACATCTCCCTATTTCTAAGTAAATAGAATAATAGGCTAGCATTTCTTCCATGATAAGGAAGCTGAAGAGATTTTCATTTTGTAATTAGTGAAGTCAGGGGCATTTCTGATATACTTACTTAGTGGAGACATTTCTAACAATGCCACTTAACCATCATTTTAAACATTTACTTTTAGTATTGGTATAACAATTCCTGCATTGAAATCCTCAACACCAGTCTGCTCTCTTTGTAATTTAATATGTTCTTAATAATATTGTTTACATAATTCATCTGCTTAAACATTTAATGTGTAAATGTTCATCTAATTTAGATTTAATTATAAAAAAAATTATGGGTTAATGGCATTCAAATTAATGTAAATGCTTTATATTTTCTTGTCCTACAGGAGGCAATTTGAGGTTAAGCTAAATTCCTCTCATTTTACTAAATCAACATTTTAAAACCTTTTATGTAAAGGCTGGACAGTGAATATTTTAGGCTTTGCAGGCCACAAATAGTTTTTCTTGCATATTCCTCTTCGTTTTTTTCTTTCTTTCAAAGCCATTTAAAAGTGTGAAAATCCTTCTTAACTTACTTGCTGTAAGAAACAAACAATCTGGGGAAGGAGGGAGGTGGCCAGGGAGAGGTAAATGGGGGAAAAAGAATACTTATGTAATACTTTAAAAAATAAAGAATTTAAATTAAAAAAAGAGAAAGAAACAGGTAGTCATAGGCCTGACTTGATCTATGGGCCCTAAACGAACTATAAATATAAGCAGATGGTATATGAACACTTACATAACAAGACTTATATGGGTGTTTATCATTACTCAGACCTCATCACCACTTTTACTCCATAACTGAAGAGTTTTTCCTATCAATATTTTGTCTAGAGGACAAAACTGAAACTGAAAATGCATAGGAGATATGAAATGCTAGAGATGAGCTACACAGACATATGGAATTGTAGAATTTTATTACTGGGAGAAATTGTAGAAATTATTTCATTTGAGCCCCTTATTTATTTTATAGATAATATAACTAAAAAACTCATAAATAAATACAATGCACTTACAAATACTGGAGGGAAACCAGGCCTTCAAATGAATCTTTACGTAATTCTTTCAAATTATTGCCACTGAGATTTCTGAAAAATGAAAAGGTTATTTCTGGATCAAAATGCATAATAACTACAACTATTTACTGCACAGAAATATATATGGGGAAACCCGGGTAATGGTGCCTGTGAAATACCCTAATTTTTATTTAATTGAAGGAAGATAATCTGTTTGTTTTTTTTATTCAAAAACTTTCTTTTCGCATCCTCTTTTGCAAACAATAGAGCATTCACAAATTGATTCACTTTCTTTACTCAGCTTTCTTTCTTTTCAAAGAACTTACCAATATCTGAAATGG